CGGGATAGAAATGAGACAGAAACCGGAGGTGGCTATAGCTAGAGATAAATGTAGAATTCGTAGCAAGCCCTCTTCTCAGAGAAAGAGTGATAGATTTTTGAGGTACCTATTAAGACGAATGGAGTATTCTAAGAAGCGTTCCTCCTTTACTTAACCATCATAATAGAATCATACGAACCTACGTGGTTACCTTCATTTCTAAGATGAAACTATGCACGTATGGGTACCGAATCAGAGGCAGCTACAAACAAGTGCGTTTGCGATTTTCAGGGACAGCATCGCTAAATGAAACAAAGCGGAACACAGGATCCTGAATCAGTAGTTGGACCTTAAACCCAAAATCTTCCATGTACCTATCCAAAAAGAGAGGTAGGTTGTGCTTCTAAATACTGGCAAAGCAAACTTGACTCATTTTCAACTCGTGTAAAACACAAACTATTTTATTCTTATTTTGTGAGGATGGGAAACTGCAACAGACACATCAAACAACAAATATAGTGTTCTTTAGTTGTCCAGAACTGTTATATTTAGAGTTACGAACAAAAAAATATGACCGACGCCTAAAAAAGCTAAAGTTGATGCTGACTTAGTAATAGTAAACAAAATCATGCAGTTAACGCGAACTTAGTGCCAAAGAATACGCCGATGTCCGCTGCTAAGGTCGTTAGGGCCCAGATGATCAAAGCCCACCCGAATAAATCATTTATTTGATTATGAAGTGATATATAGGGCCTGGTAGCAGTAGCATTGTGTATACGTTTAATCCTTTAGCCCTACATACTTCTCTTTAGAAACTGTTGCCCTCTCAGCATAACAGAGAAGGAGCTTAAAGGAAAAAAAATCCAAATCAAATTGATAAACCATTGGAATCGACAACAGTAGGTGATTGACAGACAGTAGTACAGGAAAATGCTATATTTATAATCCCATTAATTTCTTACTTGATAAACGTCTGATAGAAATCGTAAAGTGGTCAGTCACACAAAAAAGAATAGCTCTGGTTCTGAAATATGCACAGAAGATGAACCAAAGTATAATACATGAAATTTCTAGCACTAAAGAAAAAAAAACAGGGTAAAGGGAATGCAGCAGGATTAATGAACGCAAGGTAGTATGTCAGTTGTTTCGCGATCAGCACATTACCTTAAAATCACACTCGACTTTACCCTACATTATTGTAGGCAAGGTGCTTACCATGCATGCAGCCACACTCGCACAAAAATGAGCAACCACCAGACGACAAATAGCAGAAATCATGAAAAAAGCAACCCAAACTAAGCTGGATTTAGCAGTCCCATCCAGTGAATGCCCTACCAAGGGTCAATGCAGCATCTGCTGGCAAGAATCGCCATAATGAGACCTCAAAACTATCGAGAAACTCAGCGTTTATTCGTTGCTAGGCGATTTAATTCAGTCTGTCTGTTTTTCTTGACTAATTTCCTCTTTTAGATGCAAATTAAATGTAATGAATCGGATGAGGGTGTGGATGAAGCGGTGGAGACAGTGATTCACGCGTATACACAAACACCAACACGTATTTAGATAAGATCAAACAACCAAGGAGTCACTAATAGTATTCAGTCTCGGCCAAATACCACGCAGATGACATCAATTTGGCGCAACTGAAGAAAATGGTGTTAGTTACTTATTTTAAGTGGTCACGTAATCATGCAGCCATTTTAGTTTCCGGATACTTGTTCCTGATGCTGGTGACACGTTATATGTGTAGCGATTTCGGGTCTAGATCTCTCAGCTGAAGAACAGATTTCTTGAATTAAGCTTACCGTTTATGTGGAGAGTTTGTGATTAATGAGAATGAGGTCACCCTGAGAGAGACATCGGTGTGTTTCAGGCAAAATGCATTTGGCAGCTATCAGATCGTGAGATGTTGCAGACATAGGATTAGCATTTACCAAAATATTCATATGAGGTGAAAGCGACGTCCAAATATGTATGTAAAACCTGTAAAGTGATGAAGGACATGCGGAAAAGCAAAAACAGTCAATTATAAATGGAAAAACACCCTGACAGCCTTTAAAAGTGAGAAAATATTAGAGCAGCCATCACAAAGGGTCAAAGGCTGGAGGAAAAGTGTTTAAAAGAAACAGACAGATTCCTTTTGATACTTGATAAGATCATCCGCCTACTACAGAAAAACGGTACCAACAGCAGTGATGTCAAGCAGTTCTGAAGGAACCGTTGCGGAAAAAGGGTTAGATAGCCATGCGGTTAAAGAAAGTGGACAAGCTTGTACTCGAATGGATGGGAAAAGGATGCCCAATGCTTACAGGATATACTCAGGCATTGCGAACGTACCTGTTTCAGAGGCTTTCTGAATTGCAGAACCTCAGCAACTCTAATCATTGTAGACCAAGATGCGTGGAGTTTCACAAAGACTAGGTCGTCGTTTGCCAGGATAGCGGTCTCCAGAGGATTTCGATCCTCCTGATCACCAGTCTGCGCGTAGCCACGAACAGCATCGGCGTCGCTGGAAGGCTGTCCCATAGAGTCCAGAAGGAAACCAGCCTCATCTTTGAACCCTGGCTTCTGAGGGCCCGTTTTGGCCAAAATTTCACCTTGGCAGTTCTCCACCTGCAGGCAAAATCAGGACATCTTTAAAAAAAAATTAAATGAAAAACTGCTAAGTAATATTCAATGGTTTAACCCATAATAAACTCAACTTGCAGAAGAAAATAAAGAACATGATCATAAAATGCACAAATGAATATGTAAAGGAATATAAATAGAAAATAGAAGGGCAGAAACACCAATACAACAAAATAAATCACAAAATGACCTCAATTTCGATCATTTGTTCAGCTAATGCACTGAGAAAGGCGAAGCGCTTGCTCTTACTGACGGTATCGGTTTCCTCAGCTTTGTAGACAAGAACAAAGTCAATGCGCCGTTTTCTATCTCGAAAAAACATCTCAGGAGACTCCTAAACTTAACAAAAATTAGAGACAAGTGCGAACATCCCACAAACCAAAAGGTCAAAAACCGACAATTTTCCAAAGATACTGAGTAAATACTACCTAGAAGAACAAGTCTGTCTAATCAAAATATCGACAAACAAATAAATACCCAAAAAGTGTAAAATGCCCACATAAAATAAGAAACGCTTCTTACCGAATAATATTCTGAACCATCAAGATTGAAGAGCAAGCCATCCTCTCCCTTTCCCACACATGCTATCTTAGCCTTGCCCACTAAGACCGCTAGGTTAATTTGTTTGTCTTACGAAGATTCGCAAAGGACCCCATGTTTAACGGACCACTCATTTTGCCCAACCGCTCCGCAGCAAGGACTCCGAGGTTCAACAACCTTGAGATTAGGTACGCGCGTGATTCAGAATAGAATCTTGGCTTATATCAACAACTCATTCTCAGTTTGTAATGTAAGCTATAATTTTCATTGTTATTAATTTTAAAAAATATAAAAATTAAATAAGTTGTTAGTGCACAAATAGGTATGCAAAGCAGGCTAAAAATTTTGGTCACACTGCTGCGCACAAATATTTTTGAAAAGGTTTAATTTCTTTTAAACATAGGCACAGCTTGCTCCCAACAATATTGCAGTTAGGCGCCATTTGTTTACTTTTTCATAATTACTAGCGGTGTATTCAAGGATGTCCCTCATCGCCCTTATTCTGGCATAATTTGTTCAGTCCTAGTTGATTTCGAAATGGGACGGCGACGCAAGGGTAAAGGCAATCAATCTGGTGAACCTTCCTTAAAAGGTCCCTCGTTTGTTTATTTTGCGACTGATTACATGTAACAACTACGTTAGAACTCACTCTGGCGTTGCTGTTCCTATTTTGTAGGCGAAGCTTCCGACGACCCAAGTGGCAAGGCTGCAGAAGGGATTGTACCCATGAGAACAGTCTCTTCGGCTGATGTTGAGTACGTAATTTTCCGAAAAATTGATGAAATTCGTACTGAACAGATGAGGTCGGGCTTTTCGGAATCTCGCACTCTTGGAAGTGTTTGTCCGTCGTGGCTGCCATGTCCCGGCTACCGATGCCAACCCAAAGGTTTAGTGAATACACGAAACACTTGTTATCTCCTAACCTGTCTTCAAACCCTCTTTTGTCTTCCCCCTTTCGTGTCCATCCTACACCACATATCTGTGGCTGTCCACTCTTTCTTCGCGGAAGTGGGTTGTCTGCGAGATGTGTGGTTAGAGTCCCAGGCTGAGACAGTACCCCTACTTCGTTTGCTGTGAGTGGCATTCTCATCTGTCATATGCATGTCACCCCTTCGGATAACCGTCAACTTGATTTTCTTGCTTTAGTCTATTGCACTTGGACGAACGAACTCCCTACAAACCCACTGAAGTTCGAACCGGTGAACCGATTTTGCCAAATGATTTTGGCTACCTCCCCACGGGGAAACCACTCAGTCTTGATCCAAAATTCTTTACTGTGCTCAATTTCGAAGTGGGGTGTGAACAGGATGCTGCTGTGAGTCGAGGCTATATTGGAACGGTTATATCAGTCTGTGTTTTCCGATGGTTTTTTATTTGGCTGAGGTATTTGGATAGTTTGTAACGCTTTATAGACATCTTCATTGCCAGCGTCATAGATGTGACGCTGCATCCCTGTTTGGAGCTCGGCGTACGTTTATTATATGAGTGGTTCTTTGAAATCGCGCATCAGACAGGTTAGTCGAGTTCAAACCGGTAGAATGGTCGATTTTCTAAGTCTAAAGATAATCACACTTCCTGATTTCCTAAGCGCCGGTTGGATTTAGCAAAAGGATTATTTGCTATAATTTAAGTAATTCCTTACTATTAGCCAATGAAACATCAAGACTGTGGCGATCGCGTTTTACCTGAGGTCTCCACTGGGAAGGTTTTCAGCCTAGAGTTTTGTCTCATCAACCGCCTTACATGCCACCAATTAAGGGGCATCAGACTACCTTGGTGAAGCATGGAGGTGAAGGAGTACACCGATAAACGGTCGAAATCGTAGTGGGTTGCATAGTCCAGTAAAGAATTTGGGCCGAATTAACCAACCTCGGTTCTATTACCTATTGTGATGCTAGAATAATGGTTCGAGCCAAAGAAATGCCATTATTTTGCGATTATTTGATGATTATTGCGCATAAACTATTGATGCAACTGAGGAGGGACACTTACCTTCGGCGTTAGTGTCACAAATATGTAACGTATTGTTCATCGGCTTAGTAAAACTACTTGCACCGAACAGCGTGTTGTAGAAAATCGTTTTATTCTGAAGTAAATGAGCTGTAGGACACCCTTGATCTGAGGATAATTGCTATTTTAGTTTTTGTGCAGCTGCTGAATTGATTAATCGGGTAGTAAGCGGTGAAGAAGACCAAAATTTTTTTATTTTACATAAATAGTTTGAAGTGCGAAACAATGTTGAAGGGAACACAGTTTTTGCTTCCACAGTGTAAAAACCTGTAATTAATTTCCATTGAAGAAAGGGTGTATAATTTACTCGTTTTCAAAGGTGTAGCTCATCAACCAGATATGCTGAGTGATATAAATGGTATTTTCTCTGCCCGTCTTGAAAATATGAGTAACCCCTTATATTCAGTCACTGAAAGCAAGGGCAATGCTTAGAGTATCGCTAAGGATGCTGAAGTAAATGCGCATTGAGGGGTTTATGGGTGGCTAGAAACAGGTGAGGATCCTGTGTGGCATGACTACTGGCCAAAAATGATTTGAAGTAAATATTTTATGGTATGCATCACATTTGTGTCGGTTTGTAAGTGTTTATTTAGCGTTTTTGGGGTGTTAAATATGTCGCACAGGAGTGAGTGGCACCTGATGCCAGTAAAAGAATGACATGTTTGGTTGCAGTGGTCAGTTTTCCTCAGAGGACCTGATACCAATGTGTCAAACGCAGAGTGCCACATTGTCAGCACGTGTACTATGTGCGGTTGAATGAGCTGCCATTGCGCAGTTGCCTCTGATTTTGAAAACAGCGCTTTAATCCCAGTTGCTGATACATCTTATTTCTTGTCAGGACTGCATGTCACGACTGATCACACAAGTGCACGAGGAGATGGCCACGCTTCTGCGCAAATTCAAGCAGCCCAAAGACGAGGCCTCCACCGAAGACAATGGCGATGATGACAATGACGGCTGGACCACAGTGACAAGCGAGGGCAAGAAAATTAAGGAGGCGCGTCATGTAGGTAGTGCTGTTGTCTCCCCTCTCTGCTCGCCCCACATCTCACAATGCGTCCATTATTTTCTAGGCTCAAGTGGATAACGGGGAGGTGACTCCGATTTCTCTCTTCTTTGGTGGGACACTGGTTTCACGCTCCTCGTACCAGAAGAACTCTCGCCTACCAAATAAGTTGGCGATTGATATGAAGGAGAGGTTCTTTGTTCTTCCAATCGAACTTCAAGATCCTCAGGCATGGATAATTGAATTTGTGCTTGTGTTAACACCATTCATATACCTTAAGGAGCAAGAATTGCTCCTACGGATTTTGTAACGTACATGGGCCTTTGGTAGGCTTTTTCATCACAAAATATGGTTAACTATCAGCAGACCCCTGTATTATCTTCATTAGACTGGCTGTACTAGGTAGTGGATTTGTTTGAGTAGTGCTATGGGCTAGACGACGTTCTACCTCTGGCGTATTTCGTATGCCATTGGCTATTTTGGTAAGTTTGTCAGCAACAACTTTAGAATGGAGTAATGTATCCTCAGATCATCATGTACACAGCAATGCCGTGAGTAGGTCTTTTGTGTGCCTCTTATTTCTTCCAAAGTTTGGGCTTATTCCCGGTCATTTTGCAGACCTTGACACCAAAGCGTTTGCAGTTTCGATAACCCTTCTGTTGTGAGTCATAGCAAATTATTGAAAAAGGGCCTTGACCGTCCTTTTGAGTGAGCTTGTCGGCGTTACCATCGATGTGGCGTCTTAGCCGTCTCTGAGGGTGTTGTAGTTTCTGGTTTGGAAGGACCGATTTACTAGCTCCATGCAATCGGCATGAAGACTGAATTCCAAGAGGCAATCTTGTTGAATCCTTTCATTTGAAATATTTTTTTATTTTCTCGCCGGCTGGAGGAAGATCCTGTGCTTACATTTTCGTGAACCCGTATTTTTAGGCCTTGTTTATTCGTGTACTACTGTTCGCTACGACTCCTTTGATCTAATTCAGTGACTACAACTGAACACAAAAGATTTTCGTCATAACCCCAAGTTAATTTACATCGATGCTTTTTTTCTTCACTTTTTTTAAGTTGGCTAGAAAGGACTCTTATGCGAAAGAAATTTCCATATGTGAAGTCAACTATTCTCCTTTTGAAGGTGGGATGCCTCGAAGATGGATTCCAATTTCTCTCTAGAGGCGAAGTACTCTCCGACTTCAAGGATCCTGTGACTGGCCTCTGCGTGATTATGAATCGTCGCGTCTTTATTGATCGACTTCCTCCCATCCTCCTAGTTCAACTCAAACGCTTCCTTTACGACTCTAACAAGGGTGGCATTCAGAAGGTGCTTAAACATATTCCCATTCACCGTCGTCTCCAAATCGTTGACTGTGAGTGAAGCAATCATAATCACTGAAACGTGGGAAGAGGAGAAGGTATAGGTTTTTTTGTCTGCTACAGCCATTGTCTCGAAGGAGCGGACCTTTTCCAAGGCTCAAGGCGCGTACAAACTGAAAGCCGTGGTCTTTCACATCGGTTATAATGCGGAGCGAGGTCACTACACAGCCGCCACAGTGACTCAGACCAATGAAGTACTATACTACGACGACTTGAACGTCTTTCGGCTTGGACAGGAGGAGGATGTTTGGATGGATATGTTTGCTTCACATAGGCCCTTCGACACACACAGCGCGCGCTGCCGACCCTTGCCACGCGCACAGTCCACTTCTGTGGCGGCGGGCGCGGCTCTGAATCGCCCGCCGAGTATCGGGGAGCAGCCGCGGACGCCCTACCTCCTCGTCTATGTTTCGTGCTTTCAGCAGCAGTCACAGCGGCAACAACAGAGACAATAACCTTTGCCATACCTACCTCTGGTAACTTCTTTCTATGAATAGGCATGTTTGATGTGAGACTGCTTTGTAAATGCTGAATCATTGTGGAAGGGCTGTGTCTGGTTTCATAACCAGTGCAGAGGACTTTTGAAGTCTGCCGGAGATACAGGACTCGGTTTCCTTTAATTGAAGTTTCATTTATTGTGATAAGTAGGAAATAAATCGTGGGGTTGTTCGGCAACGCCAAATCGCATCTCCTCTACTCTCCGGTTTGCTCTACTAAGGCTCCACGTGGGTTGTTTGGGGACATCGCGTAACGTCGTATGAAGATTTGAGAGCATGAAATAAGTTTAAAGTACTGTACAGAGTTTGTTTGAGGGTGCATTGATAGTGTACATTTCTTTGATTTTATCGTGTTTTCTTCGTAAACTGCATAGGTGGTTGAGGTTTAAGTCTTCTCTCAGGTTTTACCTAGTCATTGTTGACAGAGAGGAGCATGCTGCTCAAACGGAGGTGCCAAATGAGGAGACTGAGGAGCCCACGTAGTTTGAAAGTTAACAGTTAAGTCATCATGGTAAGCAATCTATCCCCTCATTTTTATGCCCATTCGGCCGCTAGGACAGGCAGAAGGGACATCATTAAAAATTTGTCTGTGAATACAAAGTAGTTGGAAATATTTCCGCATTCCCATCGGTCAGTGTTTGCTTTTGTTGTGAAAGGCTGTAAATAGATGTATTTTTCACGCCGTGAATTTCAATGTTTATTTGTGAATTCCAAAAGTTTTTGAAGGAATTGACATCAGTTAAAAGTGACGTGCTGATTCAAAAGTTAATACAGGTGTCAGTTATTTTCAGTAAAATTGTTACTTTACTAATCGCTTTCGATTCGGTCTTGATAAAACTCATTTCCATAGTAATCTTGTGGACTTCAATGCAGAGATCATTTGCCTAAACAATCATTAAGTCATCCGTGGCAGTTTGCTTTCCACTGCAAATGATCGTCGATCTACACAATTAAAAGTTGCATGCAACTTAATGCCCTACTTAAAAGTTGTTGAGTAGCATGGGAGGAGTGGAAAAGACTATTTAGATTCGCGCTTATGCGCATAGCCCATGTTGTAAACACAATGTGTATTCAAACAGATTCTGGGGCAGTTGTGATAGTTTACTCTAATTCATGGATTTTAAGGTTTTTTTGTCAGAATTCGCCAATAAATGTTCTTTAAACCGCCCTCATGTCCAATCATTCAATCAGCGGCTGAGCTGACATGTTACTGGATTCATTCAACACTGTAACTGGGATGTTGAATTATTTGCGAAAACAAACCGTGAATATTATACATTCACTCATGGGGAAATGAGGTTAGGCTATATGGTTTCACTCACACCGTGTTTTTGATAGGCCAAACGTTGCAGTTGGTTTGTTTGGGCATCACATGGAGCCTGCTTTGGCCTATCCAACAGGCTAAGCAATTATCTCGCCAACGGATCTCATCAAACTTTGAGGTCTCAAGACAATTCCAATTTATATCGTCAAACAGCTCAAAGGCCTTCTGAATTTTCGCACACAACATCGCACATCGATAAGTTTCAAACATTTGCCAAATGACGGAAGCGACAACATCAACTTTTGCCTTTGTAGTCCTTCTTACAGGTTTTATTGTCAGTGCCATCTTATTTGCTTTTCACTTGCAGTACGCGAACTGTTGCCGCTAAAACTTATTTCCTTTTATTTTGTCCACCTGAAAATGATTTGCTTGAGGCTACTGTAAGTTCCTGTCTAGGTCAACTCTAGCGGTGATGACTTTAGCAAGTTTGATAGTAAATTTTCCAAACCAATTTGCGAACCTCTACGTCACACCAACGTTCGCTACTCTTTGAAGTGCACTAGAATGTATTTTATGAGGTGTACAAACATCTTTATCCTTGATTCGGGAAATGCAGATGAATTAATCGCAGCTTTTCCCAACTGAATATGTCGCCTTTAGAATGCTAATGACAGCAAGGTGGACATTTCACGGGTTCTTCATAGTTGCAAAAAGGAGTTCGAGAACTTGTTAAATATTTGTGTGTCTACCCAGCGACAGTACAAAGGCGGAGCCTTCAGTCCTTGGGTAGCCAAATAATCAAAGCATTGCAGAGCTGCCATTTCCTTTTAAGCGGTTCTCCCAGCTCTCGCCATCGTTGACCCCCTGTAGTCGGTTCTGTAGGAAAGGCACCCACGAACCATTCACGCTAGTCATCAGTTTTGTGTGCGATTAAGGAGATATTTGATTGCCGCGTCGCTGATCTATCTTGGCAATCCTTCTAGATCCGGAGTTTCATCCTGCTCAGGAATTGTAGCGGAGAAGGGGAATGCGCTGGTCATCACAGATGTTCATCGGTAGTCGTAGGAACACTAGCCAAAATATGGTCTTTTAACAAATGATGGGACTTTTCACACTTTTGTGTTGGCAATGTTTTGCGTCTGTTCTTCCTTGCCACTTTGCTCCCATTTTAGTGCTTTTTAGCCACATCTACTTATCTGGGTTCCATCCAGCTATTAGAGAGGTGGAGGAAGTTTTGCGTGTTCACTTAGTTGGTACCCTCACATAGGTACCGCTGACAGCTCAGTAATGAACTTTTCCAGATTGCTTGCTGCTAGTGTCGCTTCAGTTGCTACTAGCATTCCAGCAGGCCGCGGAACTGTTAAAGGGTCACCACAGATTCGCCCATCCGTGTCATTTTCACTTCCTTGTCAGGTTAAGTTTCAACATTCAGCAAGAGAAATCAGGGCAGATGTGCTTTAAAACCAGGCACCCTTTCCGCTTCCACCACTATAAACTGTCGAGACTTCTCTAAAGACGAAGGAGGACGTAATATTCGGACAGAATACGGAAGGACTGGTATGCTACTGGAGTAATCCAGAGGCCATGCAGCCGAGGAGATGTACAGATACGGAGTCTAAAGTGCCCTTGAAGCCAAAACCAAGAGATAAATAACTCATCATTGTAGTAGATTTGGTTATGATTAGTATTAATCAACCGACGCGATTCCAAATGGACCTAGTTTGGGCATTACCTACCCTTCGAGGACAATGAGATTATTTCAACAAGCTGACAATACCTTCGTTTACAGCAAACACCAAAAACTGGTCATTTGCAACTCTCATGATTAAAGCCTCATTAATTACACCAGAAATAAGAAAAGGTGGATTTATGCTTTGACAGTAACAAGTTCAGCCTCTCCCCATTTCACCTCTTCCTTCATAACCTTGAAATGACCGAAGTGGTTAGGGGAGGACATCTTTTGTGGGATAGGTGTTAGAAAAGTGTACTGGGAATCGAGGTTACGCGGGTTTCCGAGTTACTTTTCTCCACCAACGGGGTCAAGGGGGTCCGTTCAGTCCAGAGAATCGTAGAAGTAGTGACCGCTTCTCTCCTGAAAGGTATTGTCAAACAGACGTGCATTACACGGTGAGCCTTAGAATCAGATACAGACTCCGGATTTTGGATGGGGGAAATTTCAGAATAAAAACTTCCTTTTTACTGGCATTTACATCTCCCACCTGAGCACGGTTTGCCCAATTCTCAGACTAGTTGGGAAGCTGATCTTGACAATGACAGTGGCGTATAAAGCGGATCCCTTGGAAAAAGTTTACAACCATTTTCATTACCAATTGTTGAATCCTCTCTTTTGTTAAACTCATGTTAGAGTAGAAGGCAACCTCTTCTGGAACTGCAAGGTCAGGTGAAATGAAGCAGCAACGTTGATTAGTCGGTGAAGTGGGGAGCCAAGCCTGTTGGCAAGACTGTGTGTGTGTGTATGTGTATGTATGTATGTGTGTGTGTGTGTATGTATGTATGTATGTATGTATGTGTGTGTGTGTGTGTGTGTTGTGTGTGTGTGTGTGTGTGTGTGTGTGTGTGTGTGTGTGTGTGTGTGTGTGTGTGTGTGTGTGTGTGTGTGTGTGTGTGTC